CTAGATTACAGCTCCCATGATTATACTGGTTATACTGGTTAGTACTGCTGGAAAGAGTGCAACCACAGCTGCAGGGCCACAGGTGCCCAGCCCTACTCACCGTTTTAGCAAGTCTTCATAGATACTATGAAGAATAAGATTGTAACACATCCTAGACAACGTGCAGAAAGGTATGGATCAGTGGTTCTCAACCCAGAATCACAGATGATGTTGGACTTCACTTCCCAGAGACCCAAGCCACCATTGCCAATGTCGAGAGAATTTTGAAGTTATAGTCTGGCAACACATGGGGACCAACAGGTTAGGAGTCTTGCTGTATCTCTTAATAGTTAATATAGTTCCACTGTTTGTACACCTAAACAGAGGGATTGGCTGGAATGGAAAAAGTGCAGGGAGGCAGGGCAACTTTTTCCTTTAAGAGCAGTGGCATATACTTTTAGCTTACTGCTTATAGAGTACAGAATACTTTGACGGGTATTAAACAGTAGCCATAGGACGCCAGATGAGAAGAGGGCACATATACATATGAACTCAAGAGCCTACATAGAAGTGGATGCATCTCCCTGCTGGAGTCGTTCCTGACCCATATTATTCAAGAAAGTTGCTCCATAGCCCTCTGCCTCTCCGTTTATATACTAAGAGCTCTTTGAAAGCTAGCATGCACTTTCCTCATTAGCAACCTGGTGCAACATAAAGCTTACCTTACATTTCAGGGGACAAACAAGCAGGTTTAGAAATGGCAAGCAGCTGTAGTAAAATGCAAGGGTGAGTAGGATTATTGTTATTACTTCCTACAAAATGTCAGTGTAAAAGACAAGCAGCAGACACATCCTCTTTGCCAGAAAGACATTCTCCTTTCATTCCCTTCAAACTAATGAGGGCTGGTGGCATTCTCTCCCACTATCCAGCTTGGTTAAAACGGATGAGGTTCAAAATATACATTTATAGATAACCTCTTCTTCCCGATTCTACAATAAGGCCCACATTCTTTCTACTAGTCAATAGGGAAACCTCATCTCACAAATATATGCTGGCAACGTATTTCTCCCTCCATTTAGCTACATCATGCGAATGATTCACATACTTGCCTATTCTATAATGAAATCTCAGTTCATGTTACCTTCTTCTTCCTCTTCCATCCTTTTTCTATATCCTAGACAATGCAGTAGCAACTTTCAGGATGTTTGGTCAATTCTTGCATCATTTCACATTCAGGCCTCTCCTTACTGGTCAGACAACAGGTTCTTTCCTTGTGTCTGCTCTCTAAATTGCCAACAATCTTCTTCTGCAGCAAGTAATAGAAGAATGGTGTCTCCCTCTTTCTGTGCTCGTGTTGTTATGATTACAGCCAATGCTGTATTTTCTTCTTATGTATTGTTTCCTTCATTCATCTGCTTTACCCAGCTTTTCTAATTCGATGGGATTAAAGACCAGGTGTGATTCTGTTTGTCTTCTCAGATATTGTCACAGGTTTGTTTGTTTTAGGTAGCATCTCTGTTGGGACTATGCTTGCAAAGCAACAGGCAGACATAAGAATACAACTATTTAGGTTTTAAGTCACTGCAAGTATCTGTGCTGCCAGATTTTTAAAGAAGAGGAGAGCCTATTCCATCTCATCAGTCGATAGCACCGTAGATTCCTTGTTTTGTGACTATTGATCTTCTCCCTTTCTCTAATAACAGAAGTATTGTATTGTATGTTGAGAAAAAGTTTCAGAGGGTGTGGAATGGTAACAAAGCTTCACCATTTTTTTTTCCAAGTGTCGGGTGAGAAAGAGGAAGAGTAATGCATGTATAGATTTCCCCCCCAAATACATGTATAGCTTTCTTTTTAAATAGAACATTGCAATGATGTCCTGGTCAATGGATTGGACATCCATTTTGTTCAATTTTTTATCCATATTGTAAATGTACATCATGGACCACTTTACAAACATGTTCCCTTCTGTGCCCAGGTTTTCCTGCAGCTGTTTGTTGGTGTTGGATTTTGGGGACAAAGTTTGTTGGTGTTGGATTTTGGGGACAAAGTCTCAGTTCTCAGGTGCCTGTTTCCTTTTGTTGGGAAAAACATATCCAACAAATAGATTTGGGAAACAAAGTTTTTCTTAAAGGAAGCAAAAGGCCCAGTGGGAAAGTAAAAGGCATAGGGAATGAGCACAGAGGCAACACAATAACTGATGGAGAACACAGGTGTTCACAAAGATGACGTTGTGGAGTCCACCACTTCACGGCCATTACACACAGTTGGGACATACTGAGAAGATGACCCTGTAGGATATAGGAAGGGAGGAGTTTTCAAAGAATAGTAGCAGTTAAATAGCCTATAATCACCACATCAAAAAATATTAGTGTTTCCTGACCATCACTACCACTCATCCCATCTTGTGGTTTTGGTTTACTATTCATCATTGAATTGCCAATGATTTCTTATTTTCACAGTTGCATCAGACTTTAGTGTCAAGTTCAGCGTAACAAGTAGATCGATAACAAATCTAAATCTTCTGTAGTATTTTTATCATATAGTTTCATACTATATTGAGAGGAATTTTTATTATTAAAATTAGTTGAGTTTATTTAGACAAAGACAAAGTTCTCTCTGTACCCATAACAATTTTATAAGGTGGTGTGCCACTATAGATGGTCTGTATTTTTCTCAGTGCTGTTGCTTGGTCAATGGTGGAGAGAGGTGGAGAGAGGTTTGGATTCCACAGGGGCAGGCAACCCGATACCCTCTGGATCTTTTGGTTTGCAATTCCCATAAATGCCCATCAGCATAATGTTATACAGTGGTACCTCTACTTACGAAATTAATTCGTTCCACAACCCATTTCGTAGGTAGAAAATTTCGTAAGTAGAAGCAAATTTAACATTGAAATGCCCTAATCTGTTCCAAGCCCATAGAATAGCCGAGGCTGTGGCTGGAAGGCCGCCTCCTTCCAGCCGCAGTCTCAGCTATTCCTTGGGCCGATCCTGGAAGCAGAGGATTCCTCCACTTCCAGGATCAGCCCAAGGAACGGCTGTGGCTCTGACTGGAAGGAGGCTGTTAATCATCAGAAATATGATTTTATTGGAAAACAGACTATTTCCATGGAAAAGTGGCTGATCTAGCCATGATTGCAAAACCATTTCCAGTGATAGCAACCTTTTAAAGCTGCCTGAATGAATATTGAGAGAGGGAAAGGCATGGGAAAGCCCAACAGAACAATGGTAGACAAGATAAGGCAACCACTGTAACTAAGGGCCTTTGCAGACTGCCAGAAATAGTGCACATTAAATTGAGGCACTGCCCTGGCTCAGTGCTAGGGAATCATGGGAACTGTAATTTATTGTGGCACCAGAGCTCTCTGACAGAGAAGGCTCAATGTCACAGAAAAAAAATACAATTCCCATGGTTCCCTAGCACTGAGCCAGGGCAGTGCCTCAGTTTAATGTGCACTATTTCTGGCAGTCTGCAAAGGTTTTTAGTTTGCTTAATGCTAAACCATGGTTCAGTGTCATAAGCACACCTTCAGCAAAGCTTGGACTTGTATGCTTTCACTTCTCCTCCTAGGCATCACAAAGAGGAGACTGGAGGTGTTCATTTCCATTTTAAAGTAACAACTGTGTACAACAGGCTTGGGAATCAGGTGGCTTTCCAGATGCTGTTGGGCTGCAAGTCCCAGCAGCCCCAACCAACATAGCCAAAGGTAAGAAATTATTGGCGTTGCAGTCCAGCAACATCTGCAAGGCCACCTGATTCCCATCCCTAGTTTAGAATAATTTTTAAACAAGAAACTACAGTTGGCCCTCCATTTTCTCATGGGATCTGTTCCAACCCCTCCCCACAAAAATGGAGATTTGCACATATTCAAGCTCCATAGGCTTGAATGAGGTGCACCCCATTGATTTTAACAGAGCTCGCTCCTCCATGAATATGCAAAACCACAGACTTTAAGTCCGTGAGAACGGAGAGGCGACTACAGTTGCAGTTTGTCTTAATAATGATAAAGCAAGATTTAATGTCATTTGCAAATACAGTAAATTATTAAGAGACAAAATGGACTTGGACATTTTCTTCCATTTTTGTACTTTACTGGGCACATATGCCCTACTTCAGAACAGTACAATTGGTTCCCAGTTAATAACTTCTATTTGCATATATTCCTGATCTTTAATGTAGACATTGATGGGTATTGAAAAGTCCCAGATTTTACTTTTTCTTTCTGATTTTATACTGGGTTAAAATAAACCAATTTAGAGAGGTGTTATAAAAAGTATCTGATCATACCAGGGACAGAAAAAATTCTGGGATTAACAATAAATTTGGAAAGAACAGGGAAAAAAAATCTAGGACTTTCTGGTCTTTTTGATCAGTCTGCCTGCTCCCACTATGGAATAAACAAGCAGGTTAAAAGAAATTTCAGTTCAGCACTGACCAAGGGCAAACTTCTGTTTTAGACAGGCTACCTTAACAAGTGGATTGTGTGTGAGTGGGAAGTATTTGGTGTCAATCAGTTTGAATACAGATATAGTAAAATGGACATTGCTTAGGATGACCCTTTGTCACTTACCATGTGAGTGGCTGGAGCCTGCAGCTGTCACACTAAACCGATTGGTGGAAACACGATGACTGGCTACATTCTTCTGGGGTTGGAAGAGGATGATATGTAGCTTCGGTGTAAAGAGGCAACCAAGGACCACGGTGCCACTGAGGCTAACTGAGATACACATTGTGGTGGTTTGGACCTGTGAAACAGAAACAAGAAACCAGTGCAACAATCAAGAAGGAAAGAGAGATAGTAAATCTTCTATCTGCTCATACTGTATACTACTTGCTGAAGTACTATACTTGCAAATGCCAGAGGAGTGATCAAATAGGGCATTGCCATCTTTGTGTGCCTTCAAGTCATTTCCGACTTACAACAACTCTGTCATGGGGGTTTTCTTGGCAAGTTTCTTGGGGGGGGGGCATTGTCATCCTCTGAGGCTGAGAGAGTGCCCAAGGTCGCCCAGTGGGTTTCATGGCTGAGCCAGGATTCAAACCTTGGTCTCCAGAGTCATAGTCCAACGCTCGAACCACTATGCCAAGGTGGCATATTACTCTAAACTAAATGCATCATCAATAATATATCCTCCAGAAATTGTAAAGGGCTTCCACATCTGTACATGCCAAAACAGAAAAGATGATTAGGGTACATCAAGGATGAGAAATGCCAGCCTGCCCACAGCATCTTGCTCTAAGGATGGAAGTCCCAGAGTAAGACATTTGGGATTGGTTAAGATGAACTCTTCCATGCCTTCATGTCATGAAGTAAGTCAAATAAGTGGATGACATTATTGCAAATAAACTGTGTGGTCCATTACTCCACCAGAACTGCTGCTCTACAGTTTGTATGCCCTCAGAGACAATTAAAACACAGGATAGCCATTATGTACAAGATAATACAGAAAAGTAACAGTATAAAACTAGTAACAGTTCAACAGAACTAGCAACAATTCAGCAGTTATTCAAGATATTAAGCTATAATAAACATAGTATAATTAAAAGGAAAAACACACACAGATATTATATATGTATCCAGAAATCCACTGGGTGGCCTTGAGCAAGTCACACACTCTCAACCTCAGAGGAAGGCAATGACAAACTCCCTCTAAACAAATATTGTCAAGAAAATGCATGATAGGGCCTTAGGGTCACCATATGTTGGAAATTACTTGAAGTCATACAACAACAACTGTGAAGTTTGAATAAGAAAATTATGGTTCTTAACAACAGAGAAAAAGCAATTTCTGGTACATGTTAATTAGCATATGCCAATGAACAAATCAAGTACCAATCAGATCTTCCAGGGAATTACTTTAAGCAGAATGTAATATGTCTGGTTCAGTTTTCTCTATACAAATTACAAAAGAAAAATACACGAGATAGAGATTCTATTGCTCTATTTCCACAGGGACAAACTTGATTTTTGTAAGGATTTCCCTGGAAGCTACTATCCAGTACAACAGAAGGAATAACACTGAATAATTTGTAAAATTATTCAGGAATAATTTGTTCAGGAATATTCAGGAATAATTTGTTCAGGAATATTCAGGAATAATTCAGGAATAATTTGTAAAATTATACAGTATTTAAGGAGACCCAGGTTCTCAAGATACAGCCGGTCCTCAATATCTATGGATTCTGCATCCATGAATGCATATATATAATTCAAAAAAGGAAACCTTTATTTTCCCATTCCATGCTGTTGTTGTTGTTTTGTGTGCTTTTACGTCGTTTCTGACTTATGGTGACCCTATCATGGAATTTTCTTGGCAAGATTTGTTCAGAGGAGGTTTGCCATTGCCTTTTTCCTGAGGCTGAGAGAGTGTGACTTGCCCAAGGTCACCCAGACAATTTCATGGCCAAGCAGGGAATCAAACTCTGGTCTCCAGAATCGTAATCCAATGCTTAAACCATTACACCATGCTGGCTCTCTAATTTTATACAAAGGACATCATTTTACTACCCCATTTTATATAATGATACTTGCGCATCCACGGATTTTGGTTTCCATGGGGTGGTGATGGGAGGAGTCCTGGAACTAAATTCCGGTGGATACAAGAACCCACTGTAGTTTTCACCCCTATAAGTATTAAATGTCAGGCCTAGATAAATTAGGGAGCAGGTGATACAAGCAGATAAAGAGAACTGAGTATCTATCTTTAATCCAGAGAGCAAAAATAAGTTTTGCCTTGGACAACTCTTGGGTAGAAAGGAAGTTACCAGAAAATCCTAATCTCTATAATTTATCTCTGATAGCTTTAGAAAACTGGCTGATGCAATTGTCTTCCTGAAGAAGATAAACATAACCTGGTTCAGTTCTTGAATTAAAAAGCTTTAGACAGTATTCTAAGGCTTCAAACAAAGCAGGACATTCCAACCTCAGACTATCCAAATGCATCTGAGGAAATAGACTTAAGTCTAGGAAAGTTCATGCTGCCAATTTCTTTCTTTCTGTTTCAGACGTGCTACAAGATCTCTCTACATACTGATTCTTCAGACTAACATGACTATATATTTGAATTTAATCTCATACTGTAATACTGCTATAGGCACACTACTGTAGTGTCAGAGAGAAATGATGGAATGACATGTTTGCTACCAGAGCCCCCTTATCTAGCAGCACAGGGGGCTGTCAGAGAAGGTCCCGCCATGTTCACAACCATTCCAATCCTTGTGGCTGGCGTAGTTTATTCCTTCCCATTGTGATCAATTGGAATTGGATGGTGAGAAACAAACAAACAACCACTACCTGTCCTGGCCTCAGTGAACTGAAAGGGCTTTGAAGATGGTATTTGTTCCACCATGGAATCTTTCTACCACCATCACTATAGCATTGCTCTGAAAGTTAAGCAACACTTCTGTGGAGCTTGAATTTAATCTGTAAATTTTGGCACAACTCGATATTGAAAAATAAAAATATTTAGAATCTAATAAAGATATTCAGGATCTAGCTGCTTAATGCATACTTTGCAGATAATAGTTGGGCAGACAAAACAGGTGTATAAAGATACATGTACAGAAGTAGATGGTTAGAGCAAAAGGCAGACTAACATATTGGTTTTCCATAATGTGAAAAACAAGTCTGGGATGTTGATTGGCCCTGCTTTGAATTATTACTGAAACAAACACATTGTCATCATTGATTCTGGCACTCAATTGGTGCAGTTTCTATACTGAAATAAGTCAACTCCCACAACATGTAAGGATGCAAAAGGTGAGAAATATAAAGTGGAAATTAATGCTGAAAAAGACTTGGAAAATAGTCAGGGGATTCAGCTGACTTCATGAATATACAGATACATAATTGTGTGTGTTTTTTTAAAAGAAATCCTTCAACAGATTAAGAAATTAATATATCTTCTCAACAGATTTGCTGAGGATGAGTGGGTGGAAATGAAAAATGAAACTCAAGCAACAAGAAGCAAACAATGTGTCATGGAGAACCTGGGCCATGTATTGATGTTGGTTTCACAGGGATGGCAAGCATAGAGGATTCAGGGCCTCAGCACACGGAGGCCCTGGAGCCGCCGCCGGACGGAGCGCCGGCGGTGCGGAGCCTCCGCACCGCGGCGCACCGTCGGCGCATCTAAAAGGAGCACCAAATTGGCGCTCCTTTTAGATCTAAGGGAAAGTGCGCCCCAAAAGCGGCGGGCGCACTTTCCCTGGCTCAAACGGCGCAGCGCATGTGGGCGCTGCGCCGTGAGGTCATCCCCAATGCGCCGGTCGTGCGGACGGCCGGCGCATCTGGGGGCGACCTCGGGGAGAGGAAGGGGCGCCGCTCGTGCGGCTGCCCCTCCTCTTCTCTGCCCAGAAGACGACTTTATTAGTCGTCTGCTTAGGGCCTCAGGGGGCCATACTTGCCCCATTTTTGTCCCTCGCTCAGCCATTTCCTCCCAGTTTTTTTTTAAAAAATGTTATTTTTAAAAAAAATAATTTTATTAATTAAATCACAAAAAACAACATTCAAACAATCGTTATTATTTACATAATTATTTACTAGATCATATAACGACATTATTCCATTTTCCAGTCTTCACTTCCTGTGTTGTGAATGCATTAATGTTTGACATATTTCTACAAACCTCATTTTCCTGTCATATACCAATTCAGGGGTAGGCAACCTTTCCCCTTTAAGGGCCGAGAGACTTCAGCTCCCAGAAGCCTCAGCCATGTTGGCCAATAGTCCCATGTTGGCCAATAGCTCCTGGGATTCTGGGAGCTGAAGTCCCTTGGCCCTTAAAGGGGAAAGGTTGCCTACCCCTGTACCAATTTATACATTACCCAACATAGATCCAAACGATTAATGCCATTTTCTTCTAGTGATTATATATTATAATTATCATTATTATTTAATTAATCTTTAAATCCCCATGTTGCCATTACACCCCAATGTTTACTTATATATTCTATTATTTGCTCCTAATTTTGAGTGAATTCCCTTAACCTTTCGTACTTCATAAGACATGTCATTTTATCTAATTCTGCCATTTCTACTAATTTCCCCTTCCAATCTTGTATTTCTGGCATTAAGTTTCTTTCCATTTTTGAGCAACTAATAGTCTTGCTGCTGCAATCATGTAATATAATATTCTTTCCTTACCTTGGTCCAACCCCTCTTCAGTCATACTCAATAAGTATAATCCTGGTCTCATTTGAAGCTTAATATTCAATATCTCCTCAATTTTCTGATGTATAGAAACCCAAAACTTACAAAATGAAAAGATAGTAGAAGAAATACAAAGAGAATTAAAATCGTACTTTAAGGAAAATATTGGAGAAACAAGTATAGAAATGATATGGGAAGCAAAAAAGGCTTCCCTTTTTAAAGACTTTTTATAAGAGGTGCATACTTCTTGTGTATCATGCCATGTGTGTGTGCATATGTATATATGTATTTGTTTATTTTCTACCTTTGTCCTAAAACAGGGATTCAAGGAAGTTTATAATGTATAAAACAATACAGCTAAAACAAAATTTTGCATGCAATAAAGCACATAGGCTGAGATCCTACAGCACACTGACAGGGTATTAAGATGGTAAGGATGTTCCTGCTTGCTTCCCCATGGTGTGCAACAACTGTAGGGGAAAGCCAGGTGCAGGTCCACCTCTCTGGTCACTTATCGGCTGCAGGAATGCCCTCCGGCCTTGCAGTTTATTCTATATGCTTTGGAGGATGGCAGGGAGAAGGGACATCCTCTATGCCGGGGACAGGCAGCCTTTTTGAGACCTGGGCTGGTCTCCCATAGCCCAGGTCTCGGCTGGGCCGAGGTGGGGGGAATGGCGGCGCACGCGCTCCCTCCTCGGCCACGCGCGCCCCCCGCGCACGCTGCCACCACGGCCGCTACCACGGCCACCGCCATAGTGCGCGTGGCCACAGCCGCCACAGCGCATGTCGCAGCCGCCATTTTGGAAGTCAAAATAGTGGCCGTGACGCGTTTGCGCATGCGCAAGAGTACTGTGTATGCGCAAACGCATCACGACCACCATTTTGACTTCCAAAATGGCGGCCGTGACATGCGCCGCCAAAAACGCACCCCGGCGACAGCGG